CTGCAACTGCTCAATATCCTTCCCTCGGTTCTTAGTTGGAGACCCATTCTTAAACTTTACTTGCGTACTATTAATTATCTTGTTGTAACGTGAAGTACGCGAATCAACTCGGAAACAAATTTGCGCCGGTCGGACAACACTCTCTGCAGGATCCACATGAAGGCGACATTGGCTCACCGCCCGGGAACCCCCGTTCTGGTATTGGAACAAGATACCTCTGCGAAAACCAGTATTCTAATCATAGAAGACTAGCACTCAATAAAACGCCATCTAGAGGCGCCCATAGGAAGTAGGCATCATCATTGATCAGGTGAAGACCAGGATGTTCGATGGGAAATCGCTTCAAGGTCTTAGCTGAGGGTGGTCTGTAGTTAGCGCCAAAGAAGTGGACGGGGAAGTCTTCCCTCAGTTCACTATAAATCATAGTAATAAGAGCAGATGCAGCTAAACACTGGTCCTTTATAGTGCTATCACATTACTACCTGATAATGATGTCGCCCATACACTCCATCCTAACAAGGACACTCAAGCCACAGGCTTACAATACTTCTTAGTACTAAGAACAAGCACGTAGCCATTCTTTGATATGGGCAAATAAACCCAGACAATAGTCCGCCTTAGTTAATTAGAGAAACTCTGCTCAAAGGTGTCCATTGCACATGATTCTTCCGAGGCGTGGATATGGATGCCAAAGAGCTGGCCTCTGGAGAGGAAAAAGGTAATACCCTTTATCTTATCTATTTCAACTACATACAAAGCCCGACACAAAGAAGGATCTGCCAGATACAACAGGTATAAATCTAAGTTTGGCAGGGCGGGGGTGTTCCAGATTAGGAGGGTCTAGAGCTCTATAGGCAAAAGGAGACACAGCCATCCATCCTGGAAAGTAAAAGAAATGTTGGCGCTGTATCTCCAAGAGGAGAAAAATATCAGAGGCATACCTTAATATGCGCTACCACTTTAGAAATGGACGCTTCATCTTAGACAATAAAGGTGGAGTGACTGGTACATTCTCTCACATATAGGGGCGGGCCAGGGAGGTATTCGACTTTCCTAATGCCAACAGAGTCGAGGGTTAGCCTTAGTATTAGGAGCTGGGATGGAGACCCTCCGACACATTCGAATTTCCCACTGCGCTCCCATGAGAGAATCCCTCTTAGGGGAACCTCGAGGAGAGGTTCTAGATCTACAGTTGACATAGAGGCCGCTACTTGAAATACTGGAATGCATCTCCATAGCAACGAGTGTCTTGAGTAGTGCCGAATCATCTCAAGCAGCTCTGACGGCAGTGTGCACATAAGCGGCAATTCGCAAAAATGTAGTATCGTTTTCAATGTGTCCTTGTCCACCATCGGGGCCGAAAAGCAGACAGGCCGCACTCCACGCCAAGGACTCCGCCATGCGGCCAATATCCAGAGGCGACTCAACGCATCTGAAGGACTGATTGAGCATCATTGCTTGAAGATCTCGAAGCAGTCAAAATAGATTGGAACGAACTCGGGCGAAGTGGCGCATGTCCTACAGTTGGGGTAGTAACACAAGAAGCAGCCACCAACCCGTGTGATGGTATGGCCGGGCTGGGGAAAAGGGAATGGTCGGGTGCAGCCACCATAAGACGTCAAATCACGGTTTCGGAAGACTGGAAGTTCGAGTTAACATTTTTTCCCTCTAGGCGCGAGGAAAAGGACAAAGAAGAGAAGAGCCTGCGGTCACGGTGACTCGGGGCGAGACTGAGTGACGCAGAGGCTTTGCGCTCACGTACGTGCTACCACCCGTTCGTGCCTGAATACCAAATCTGCGCAAAGCCCACAGCGTGGGTAAAGTCCAATATGGTGGCCATCGTCGGGGCCACTGGTATCTGCGGTTGTGCTCGCCATTCGGCTGTCTTTGAAAAGGTAGATCCCGGTCCCGCGTGAGAAGTTTATAATTCTTAGAATTCGAGTTGGTGGTAAAACAAGAGGGAAGAAAATGGAAAGGATGCTTCGCTTCAAGGGAGCAGTGGTAACAAAACCGCTGTCAGATCCTGCCCATACGTGCCCCGGCCCAGCTGTACTCAGCCGTCCTTCTTCCTCTTCAATTCATCCCTGCTGGCCGACGCTTTCGTGCTAGTCGCGCCCATTGGATGCTGCGACCTAGATGTCCTCCACCTTCCCATCTATCAACGGACAGGGCGGATGCCCAAGGTCGCTGGCGAGTGCAAAGTCTCGTGCCATTTACTTCACGATCACATGATTTGGGTATCAATTGCTGATACCATGATTTGGTTCATCGAAGATTCCAGAGTGCTACCCGAACAACTACGCTCGGGGGCCTGCGCTATTCAACGATCGTCAACAGCATCATCACTAAAACAGCCGCAACTCCACGAGTATCGCAATAAACATAATCTTTTTCTGTCATTATTTTTTTCGTAATCGACAACGTCTGCTGGATCATGCCGCAGCAGCTCCGCGAGCCTGCCGGTACGACGAGGTCTTTCGGCGAGGCGTCGAACTCCCATCCTCCGGACTACGCATCACGCCTGACGCACCGAAGCCTGCTGCCACATGCCCCATCAAACGAAATTCTGGAAAGAGCTGCTCTAATCCTTGAGGACGAAACAACTACCGTAGACCTATGTAAAGCTGTCATCCAAGAACTAGTCAAAGTTGTCCTCATGAAGGAGGAACGGCTGTCGTATGCCGAGAAGGCACTTGACGACATCAAACACATCGTGAACCCGAAGACGCATGCCACGGGTACAGCAGCAGCAGCCACCGCGGCAGTCACGCCAGCTACTCCCGGTTCTTTGTGCAAGACGCCCCCCTTGTCTCCGAAAACAATGATGATAGAAATGATGCAGGAGCAAAGAGAGCAGCAGCTATCTATAAAGGAGAACGAAGCCGAAGTGCTTGAGACAGGACTGCGGCTAGCTGGACTTTGGAGCAGGTCATGAACGACTGATGGGAAAAGTTATTGCCCACTGCGAACAGATTTGCGTTGGATCAATTCCTTAAACTCAACTCACGTGCTCTCAGAAGAGAATATCCATGGTCACGTCCTACTTCCAAAGCAGGTCATTGCCCGGGTGTGCGTCCTCTTGCTCTCTGTGGAGTGTGCGCACAAGCGGCAGTGAACGGCTGGTATTCCACATCTCGGATATCAGAAGGCGAAGCGAATGCTTGTTTAGCCTTCACAAGTAATAGGGTTACCAACGGTTGCTGCCCCGCTGTCCATCTCCTCAACAACAAGGTCGACACACCTCGGATCTCTAGGCTGATGTGTTGGCGGCTGGTGGGAAGACACGACCCATTTGTCATCGGTGAACACGGCGTTCCAAAATATACCCCAATAGTCGCGCGGTGGCCCAATCTGGATGGGTTTGGGCCTTTTGTCATAACCGTTGAAGGCGTGGGGCTGCGATGAGGGACATGGCCTCTGGATGGGAATCCTATTAATGAAGGTGGCTACGAGGGTTGTAGAATGTAGTCCGAGGACACAATAGAAATCACACATTGTCTAGAAGAAGAGCTTGGCCAAGAAGGCGTGACACAACACGAACTCGACGAAACGGTCGAGCTCACACGAGCCGCGACCTGCCCGTATGCGCGGGTCGCTATGAGAGGGGTAAGACGGCACCACTCGCTCGCGCCCGCCGTTATCTTCTCCGATCTCCACCTCGGTGACCAACTTCCAAGTTCTCAGTCCCAAGACGAATCATCTTCATCGCGATGTAGGTAGAATTCACCTCTATCAACTTGTCGGTCTTTGGGCGTCCAACAACTTCAGGCCCCATACAATGTATCACCACCAGTCGCGCGTCTAAAATGCCCCACCTTGGCAACCGGCACTTCTGGTATTATCGTACTCTAACTCTTTTCCGACAATCTTGTGCTGCATCCAATCGTATGCCGTACTGTAATGTTGACCGACACGGATGTTGATTTAGCGCAACTACGCGTACAAGTATGTTGATGGGATGTCGGCATCAAAGATATTGGGGAGAATAGTCAGACTTGGCAGTGCCACTTCAGGAGAGAAACTGGCGAAAGAGACGCATGCCGTAATCCGGCTTGGGGGACTTGGCGGTGGGGAGCCAAGCCATCATCATCTTAGCATTTGCTTGATCACAGTCACATATCATGAGATATTCAAATCAATCGCCTTGACTTGCAAAGTCAGGTGCATCGGGAGCGGACGAAGCCGCGACCAAGTGAGTGAACCCCAACTAAACTATACTCCGTACGTCCACTGGATTGAGGTCTTTCGTATCCTGTGCAATCTGATAGAACAGCCCGGCCAAGAAGGATTCGTCCTGTAAGATCCTAATCCTCAGGCTGCGGGGCAGCACGCCTTGCTTCATGTACGAGTGGCACTTTTGACGGGATCCGAGTTTCTTGTTGGCAGTGCTGGCAATGCTTTGGGGATTGAACAGCATTGATCGTGTCCCTCGATATCAATAATTGAAATCATTGCCGTTACGGGGCGGGCTATGCTGAAAATTGCAATCACATCTGTGTCTTTTTTCCGCATGCGGCTAGCGCAGCACCCTGCGGACCAGTCACCCGCCTGCGATCAATTTGGCTTTTTGAAATAAAAACCGGCGAAGCGAAGTGGCGATGCCAGTGGAACCCTTCTGGAAGGAACAAATTTCGAGGCACAAAGGAACAGCCATCCATCCCATAAAGGCCACCCAAATTAGCTTCCTTCGCAGTGCCCCCTGTTTCCACGACAGAGGAAGAGCAAAGGATTTGTCCCCACCTTGCAGAGCAGGATCCCACGGTCATCGGACTACAAAATTCGATGAATGAGGAGAAGGATGGAGATAGAGTTGAGGCCTTTATAATGTAACGTCAACGACTGGTCTTTGGTAGGAGTCGACCACCGCTGTTTCCTCGCATCACGTCGCACACAAACTCGTCACTCACTGAATCGGCTTGTAATAAGGGGCACGGCTAACAGCTCTCCGAATAGAACTTTTTTCTTTCCCTCACCTTAAATAAATAAAGTCAGCAAAAAGAATGGGGTTTGGAGGTAGTCGAGACGGAGGTCGGAGTGATGATCCCCCTCCGTATGAGGATGTCGTCGCCTCGGGATCAGCCCGTTCAAGTCTTATCGTACCCCATCAACCAGATCTGTCTCCGGGAAATAATATCGGCGAGGCAAGCAGCTCCTCTCCGATGGCGTCGTATCCAGGACCTATTCCTCAGCAGTTCCCTCCTATCTTCAGTTTCTACAAAGATCGCTATTCGCTGACGATAACCATCGCGCCGCATCAACGCACGGAAACCATCTACGCCGTCAGCCGGTACTACGGCGGCATGGACAAGCCCGCCGTTCAGCTCCACTGCGGCCCCAATGCCACCTTCCCCATCATCGCCGCCGCCGAGCTGCAGCCATTCACGCGCGATCGGCTCATCACTCTGCCGCCGCTGCCCGGGTCTCCCGAGACGCCTACGGAGGTCCAGCTCCGCGCCGAGGATCACTTCCTAACGATGAAGTGGTGCTTCAGGATAGAGGCGGGCCTTCCAGGAAAGCTCGAGAGCTACGAGTGGCGATGCAGCGGCGGCGCGGCGGTCAGCAGTCTGGGCGTAGACTGGGCTCGGGGCTGGAAGCTGGTGCGGTTGGAGAAGGGACCGCCGGACGGGGCGCCGCCTGGCACCAAGTTTTGCCCTGGGGAGTTTGTGACTAGCGATGGCTGGGAGGTGGTGGCCATGTGGGCTCTCAGCGCGATGAATCTTTCGAGGGGAGGCGTGTTTGCGTTTAATGGGACGGGGGCGTCGGGGTTGTTGGGGGAGAGGTGGGCGGTGATGGCGGTGATTTCGGCGTTGGCCATTGTGGACTTTGAAGCGCGGAGGTTATGAGAAGGGATGGACCGATTGACGATTACGGCGGCGACTTTTATCCATTTTGGCGCGAATTTTCTAGTCACTTACTCTGACTCAAGCTCTAACGTGAAGTGTATGCGCTCCCTCCCAAAAGGGAGCTGGCTAACGCGTTCGTTCTGGCGGCGTCCACCGCTGATTAAGCTCTATAAATATAGCCCGATACCCCTACTTACCGAACTAATAAAGTTATACCCTCTCGACTCCACGATTTGCTCGCATGGGTGGCTCTCTGCTCCGTAGTCTCCGCCGGCCCATCCGTGGGCTCTGTCTGCTGGTGTCCGGAGCTGGGCAGAGATGATGTCAGAAGCATTGACGACAGCCAAGTCAATGTCTCGGTGATGGAGCAGAAAGTACTTCAATACTTCAATTCCCTAGTCTAGGCTTCGCGAGTGGAGGTTGGATTCAATAATTTGAGTTTGTACTTGTACATGTACTTCGCCTCATTCGGGTGTTCCACCAAGACATGAGACTCATTATGACTCATAATGACTTTCACTAAGCCATGCGGCACATGTTACCCGATTCGGAAGGAACCACACCACTCGCTTCCGGCACTGTCATCATGAGAATCGCCAGGCACAAAACCAGGCGATATTTCTCGCAAATCGAGGCCACCGTCTTCCCTCTCCTTTCTCCCTCTCTTCACCCCAACCTTTCTTCCAAGAAGGGACTTTTTTTTCCACCTAAACCCTGTAGTTGCACGAATCCCACGGCCTCGTTAGGAGGCCGTACACAATCTGCCAGGATGCCAACCGCCACCACCCAACAGGAATGCGCGGCGATCCAGACCGCCTTCCACCGCTTCCAGCCAAGCCAACTCAGCGTCCCCGTATTCCCAGGATAATCTCTTCGCGTCTGCCTCCGCGGGGGAGCCTCTCTTCGCCAGCGCTTTCCCGTCCCCGGGTAACCTCCAGGCCTTCAACGGTCTCTCGGTCCCGTCCTATCCTAGTCTTTTCGTCGACGTTCAGGACTGGCGAGATCCTGGGGGTCTCGTCCTCGACGAGGCAGCCGCGTTTGATTTTGGGCACGTGGAGGATCCTGTGCTGGCTTCGGCTGAACAGTACGATTTTCTGAACGGTACGTACGCAGAATATATATTGAAACCCATTCCCCTGTGCTCGGATCACCACTTCATTCTCCTCCCTTGCGATGAACTAACACGCCTTTTTTTAAGATATGAACATGGATTTTACAGCTCTTGCCCACTTCAACCCTCAACACCTAGACACTACACCCGCATCGGACCCTTCAACAGTTTCCGCCACCCAAGCCACCAGTTTCCTAGACCTCCCGCCTTCCACCGGCGCCTCTCCCCTTTCCTCCTCTTCGACACACTCCAGCACCTCCAACTCCAAAAGCGCTTCGAAGACTCCCCACTCGCGTCCTCCCAAGGAAGACGACGAGGCAGCTGTGAAGCGCTACCGAAACACCCTCGCCGCTCGCAAGTACCGCCAAAAACGCATTGACCGCATCAAGGACCTCGAAGAGGCACTCGAGGAGGTCACTCGTGAAAGGGACGAGCTGCGGATTCAGTTGGCTCGCCAGGAGGCTCAGAACGAGGCGCTCAGGTCGATGATGAAGTTGAAGGAGAGTGGTTCTTGATTTTCGTTACTATCGGGTTCTTTTTTCTTACCTTTCACTTTCTGAAGGAGGATCTTGCGGGAACTCTTTGTTGGAGTCGGTTGCCTTTCTTTGATTGCATTAGCGGAGTTTCTGTACTTGTTCGAGAGCTCGAGGAGTTTCAGGACCTAGCAGTGTTGATGGGATTGATTTTGTTAGCTTCTGTGGTCTCTGAGAATGTTCACTTCGATTAGGAACGGACAAAATATAAAGCAACATTGTTTCGAGATTAACAAAAAGGAAAGAAAGAAGCTCCGATCAGAGGATGTTTTCAGACGATGTCAGCTCTTCAGTAGTTTCGTGATGACTATAATCAGTTCGCTCTGCGTTTACCCAACGCAAGAGACCAATATCATCGAAATAGGTAACACGGTATAATCATGAAGATCCTGGAGCGATAGGGGACGATAGTTTGGGTTGGGTCTAACGGATGAACAATACCTTCTCAAATTCGCAGAGAAACCCTTAAAGAGTCTGATTTAGGTTCGTGGGAACTCTGTTCACGCATTCTTCCTACTTTGATCGAACAGTTACGGACAGTCACACGGCGAGATTCACCTCAATATTCTGTGCGCTTCTCGTCTATTTAAGCTGTTCCCGACTACAAACAAAACTGCGCCCGCATTGACATGGCTCCTCTGTCCGTTCCAATAGAAGTGAGGCTCTCCTGGGTTCTGTCAGAGTTTCTCAGATACTGTCAATAATGAGAAATCATGAATCATCATCAATAGCAGGAGGATATCGAAAGCATCGTTAATATCTTGGTCCTGTATGAACAACTATGAGTCATTCTGTATGCCATGTGAGGACCGTGAGGTTAACTGGGAAGCCTCTGCCAAGTTTTGGACGAATGAGTACAGCGAACAGTGTAGTACGTCGACGGGAATAGCCATATCAGGTATCATTTTGCCTTTAATGCGCCGGAAGGAGACGATTTGCGGAGCGCAGGATCGTTGGGAACGTGGAGCGAAGGTTGGGGAGCAGTAAATATGGCGGAAGAGTTCTATACAACCGACCTTCGGGATTGATTCGCGGCATTAGAATCCGTTGCACTTTCGAGCATGGCCCTAGCAATAGGTATCGATGATGTCTCTCCATCCTCTGAAGCTGCGAATTGTGTTTACAGATCATTACTTCAAGGACATCAGCCGGTGGGCACGCAGACCTTCGGCTTTTGGCTTGTCGACCTAATCCTGGGGATGGGAATGTTCAGATATCCAAACCCCCAATTGGGGCGCATGAGTGTATCCCATCGGGCGGCGGCGGGATACTGTTGGCTTTGCAGTGGATCAACGTAACTTGGTCCAATGGACTTGATGTCTCTATTTTGAGTCTGAGTACTCTATCGTGCCGATCGTGAAGCAAGAATGGGGACCCTTCCTCCGTGCCATGCAAAAGAAAGTCTCCAAGACGTTAATAATAACTACTCCTCACTTTTCCAACCCCTGCCCTTCCTTCCCTCAGTCCACACGAGGAAGGAGTTTAGAATCCTTGACGAGCAACCTGCTCTTCAGCAGCTTGAATGGTAGCAGCGGAATTAGGGTCATTGAACCCACATCCCTGCTTCCCGTTCTGCAAAGCCGCCGCGATGCCCGAGCAGACGCCCTGTCCCTGGCCGTTGTTGGCGCAGCAGGCAATGGCCTGGTCGCAGTCGGCGTCGGAGACGCAGCCGCCCGTGATGAACTGTGCGCCTTGGCCGTTTCCTACGTTGCGTGCGCCGGCGTTGTTGGGGATGACTTGGGCGAGAGCGGTGGCGGAGACTGTTGGTTTCGAAGAGGTGTTGTTAGTGCTGATCGACGTGCTTGCTTTAGCTACGGGGACTTTTGGATTCAAGACTCACGGGCGAGGAGAGCGGCGATAGTGATGCGAACCATGTTGGCGGTTTGGGGGAAAGTGAAAGACTCCTAGTCGATTTCGGTGGGAAGAATAATTGTACAAGAAGTAAACAGACGACGCCGGGTCGTTTCGAATTAGGAACTATAGAGACAGAAATACTAATGGTGACAACATCATAGATCAGACGTGAGATCAATCGGGGACGAAGAGGCTCACGGCTCGTTTTTATAATCAAGTTCACCACTTGCTATTCCATCAGGAACAACCCTGGTACGCTCCGTTTGGAGGATCTATTTTCGGGGCGTAATAGGAGCCGCAGATCTGGATAAATGGCAAAAAGGGAGAGTATCAAAAGCTTCGCGAAGAAAGAAAGACAGAGGCTAGAAGCATTGTGATCTGATGGAACGCTGATCCTCAACCTCAGAGACGTCGCAGATCGTTCCTCGGCTCGCCTCTGGTTACCTAGCCTCGAGCAAAGCGGAGGGGCTTAATGCGAGCGGTAGAAGAGCAGTCTTGCCGACGAGGTGGATTGGTATTACAATAGCAACTGGACCCCAACGAAGCAGCGGGTGCTGTTATTGATACATATTGATACAACAGGGCCGGTTAACCCTCCCATTGCTGCTGTGTCTGGTGTTTTCGTTTCCCATCAGCTTCGGGATGGTCCGAGAACAACGTGCTGAACCTCTATACCTGAATTTCTTGTTTTCTCATCATTGCCCTGCATAATTTTCTGTTCGTAATCCGGGGTTTTCGGAGCCCTGACCTACCAGGACATGGAGTCGCGGAGTTTGATCGACGGTCCTGAGCCGACGGCTCTGTTCCGTGGCTGTGGCTGTGGGGTTCATGCTGCCAGGCGAGGGTCATAGCCCGCCTGAAGGGCAGGGGAGGGTGTGATTCTGCGACATCCATGTTTCCGAGTCGCCTGCAAAATGATGATTGGAAGTTAGTTTCACCATTTTAGGCGGTATTCCTGGGAATCACAACGACTCTGGCTGCCAGAAGGCCATGGTCCTCCATTCTCGTCTCTCGTTTTTGGCGATGATGCTCTTCTCTTGGGGTCGAGGAAGGCACCATGGCTCAGTGGGAAGACGCGGACACGCGAATACTTACTGCTTGTGACGCGATGCTTATGAAGAGTTGTTGACACGCTTGCCATTTGACGCGTTTGGCACGTTTGACACGCGTTCATGGCACCTGTCGATTCCCATCGTCAGTTGAGCTGTTGCTCTTGATGTGCCGCCGGAGATTGTCATCTCTTGGCTTCCACATAGTCTCGGAGCTGGCAGAGTTCCGGTTCCACAGATCTCGTTACTCCCAGTGTAGAATTTAATCAATATACAGTCTCAAATCTCACGCTGGCTTCTATTCTAGTATTGCAGAAACTAGCAACTCTAGATCTCGCTTTGTAACTCTAGAAGGTTAGAGCCCCAAAATTCTGCACATTTTTCTAATATCGGCGTCCATAATCATAATCGCCTTCTCAGTTAGGTGACGCTAGAGTAACCTGCCGCCACATTTCAATATCAAGGAGAAGCAAAACATAAATGAAGAATGGAGATACGGGCATGTGGTGTCCGGGGAAGGAGCGCCAGAGGCATACATCAATTGATGTCTTCACAGAAACACTGAAACTGAAAATCAAGCAGGCTCTGATTTACAGGGAAGGAGAGGCAACGATACGTGATGGCAACTACGATCGGACATTTAGTAGCAACTGAATTAACTGGATCAATTGATTCATATTCACAAGTCCACAACGAATCATCCTACAATGATCCAGCTCGTGTCTCAAAATCTGGTCTGTACCTTCCCATGTTGCCCAAGGGTATCTTCCAAAGCTTAGTGACTCACGACCAAATGTATCACCAAACTGTAGCTCGATCAAGGGCTGAAGGTGGCCCGAGGCATTGGCGAATCGCCCCAAACGCACAAACGCACTCAAGCCCAGGGTATGGGTCCACCTCCACATCTCTGCATAACATCTCCGAGGACTTCATCTAATAGTTACTAGTTAGGTATGACATTAAGGAGGGAGGCCCCAGGATCTACTCGACGGACGACTGACGGTATGAAGTTTGGGGAGTAGTACGAGACGGAATGGGTTGTTGTATCGATAATTGACGCCCCTCTTGGTGCCTATCTTCGCGAGCTACTCGAGGCCGCTGTTCGGTGTCAACTTTGGCGCACAAGGGTGACATGGATAAATAGAAGGGCTGTTGAAGGCAGAGGAGATTGCGTCCGTCCAGAATTGCAAACCCCAAGCTATGAATTCTGAGATCGTCTTCCACACAATCCATCCAGACGCCATGCCACACATTCCGCAACCTCGCCTAGGTTCCCCAAGCAGAATTCAGGCTCAACTACTACACAATGTGAAAATAAATCTGTCCTCGTCGATGTCCCTCGTTAATATGCCACAATTCCCCGATGTCAACACGGACTCCGCGTCAGAAGCGGCAATACAGGCCGAAGATGTTATTATATGGTTTAAACTTGACATTCTCGCCTTAACTCGGTTGACATGACAGAAGTGCTGGTTGAGAAATGGAGCGATTCTTAGCGATACCTGGGCACTATTAATGAGTGCTCTGGCAAGTATGGTAGAACTCCTCGAAGCGATCGAAGACTGATATCTGCGCCACAGGCGACGATGGTGGCCACCCATCGTCATGGAAGATGGGCGATAGCTTCTTTTGGCCATTACACATCTGGAGAGTCTTGGCGTTCCTTCGGGGACCTCATTCGCTTCCGGTTCCTTTCCAGCTTGTTCATGACCCCATACCCTCGGTGCCGAACTCTTATCCATCATATGGATTCTATCACTATTTATTGCCATGGCTGCTGCGACTACACCAGCCTCTCTCAAGTCTCAATGCACTCCCACCGACACAGTTGGACTAGCTTGTGAGTGGGATGGAATGCCCCAGGTAACTTACAGGAGTTCAGGACTAGACATCCCAGGCGCGGGGCCAATTGCAGTCCTAAAAACGAGTATGTGATTTCCGGATCCCTCGAGCCTTTCCAGCCATCTTAGACTAACAAAATTTTCTACCTTGGAGGCCGTAGTTCAAGTCCTGGAGTGAAGGCTATATCCACGCGCCCCGAGACACCGGGGCCCCTTCTCCCACCCCCACGAGTCTGCTGCCTGCTTCTTTATCTACTACAGTAATGGCGTACTCAATCCTTGTCCGATGTCTGCACAGGTCTACCTGGATGTGTTGAAGAAGCCTAGGAGAAAAGATCCTCCGGAGGAATGCATCACCCCTCAACTCAGCTGGCCTTGTGCGAGCCGCTTCCCACACCCGAGCAGCTTGGTCCCACGCCTCAAACTGAGCACCCAGCCGTTCAGGATGTCTGTCTTGAACTTGGACTTTGCTTTACCTCGACGAGTTCACGCACCGTCGTCCTCGAACGTTTAGGAAGCTGAACCGGGAAAAAGTTATTATTCAATAACACTACGTCCAAATATCTTCAAGTTCATTCCATGTTAACTTTGCAAGAACTCTAGCACACTGTCACCCTCAACACACGCCGTATTTTCCCCAACGGCAGACCTCATCCCTCCTTATCACAAAACAATTGGTGACTTCGACCGAGTCGACGTCGACTTGCCACACATTCAGCATTCATGATGCATTCAATCATGTCCTCGGAATAGAAGCCGCAACCTCTTCACATCCAAAAAGGAGAGGCGACAATGAGTTGAAATTGGGATTGATCCAATTCATTGTTCACTCCAGGTCCAACTGGTAGCAGTTTCCATCCTCTTGTCTTCAGTCACAGTATTCCTTTGTTGCTCACGAAACTGATTCTTTTAAGCAGGTCAACGGTGAAGAGAGATGGTCGTGCTTTGAGGCGTGAACATGTCCAAGGCCACCATCTACACCACAGCTGGACAGGCCATACTTGAAGGTGTAGAAAGGGCAGACATTGCCAAGAAGCTAGATACTTTGGATCAAGCCAGTATTGCCAATCATCTTATGCAGAACCATGACAATGTTAGCCATTGTCTAGGCTCTTACACTCTTCTTTCTATCTCCAACGTCATCCTATCTTTCCTAGTTCTAGCAGTCAGTACCAGACAGGTTAGCTAGCTACTTGGTCCTTGAATACAAGTCCATGATGACAAGGCAGGCATTCCTTGGTCCATCCTAGTCAAGATCTACGTCGTGGTCCTCACGATCATCGTGAACGTTTACTGCTAGAGTACTGAATCACACACTACCCACTTTGGCCATGGAAGGCACCGCCATGAGAAAGGATCTCACAGGGAGATGCTATCGCCATCGCGAAAGCATCCTCCTCTCCATCGATTAGTCGTCAGGGCTTAAGGATCAACTATAAATTCGGACTCGATGACCCGTCTCCTCGAAAACTCTTCCCTCGATCCATCCTCGAAAGAAAAAAAAAAAACAACCGCCGCCCTCAAAACGCGTGTTTCAAACCGCAAAGGTATGTATGGCACCCTCGATCATCCCGATCGACGACTCCCGATTCCCATCACCGAGTCTGTCTTTGCATCCTCATATTCGTCTTCATCGTCATCTCCGTCTCAATTCAATTCTGTATTCCTCTCAATCTACATAGTTGAATCCCTATCCCTACCGCCATCCCCATCCCCATCCCCATCCCCATCCCCATCCTCAGCATCATCATCCCGTCTCGTCTTCATCCCATCTCCGCCTTCATCCTCGCCCTCGCCCTCACCGTCATCGTCATCATCAACATTACCATCCCCACCTCCACGCAGTACCACCCCCACTGACGACATGTAGGCAGTTTAAACATGTCGAATCTTCCTCATCAGCCCGATGGGCCCGAGGACCCATCCCCCTCTTTCCCCCCCGGCACCGTTTGTATCATCGCCCTTGATCGCCGCCCATATCCTATTTCCCCCGATACTATGCTTAACCACACGACGGACCTTGTGAGAAAAAGGTATGTTTGAGTCTTTCCCCATTCCCGACCTTTGGCTCGTGATCGATGCCGCGGCTGACAGAAGTTCCTCATAGCGCCGACGGCTTACGCGCTCGCGGTCTTCGACTCGAGGGTGACGAAGACATTCGTGCTGTTGGCAATATTTTGTTCGCTGGTTACCAGCAAAGCAGCATGCCTTCCACGCCTCCTGACACTCAAGGTGAGATTCTGAAACATCTGCCATTCTTAACCTCGACTTGCCCAGGCAGATCAATGGTCATTGCTAACGAGAGTCCTCTAGTCAACGACGGGCCCAACGCTAATGCCGCCGCGACTGTCGACTCCGATCCCGCTCCTACGGCTCCGGTATCTGGGACCGCCCGCCCTCAAGATCGGCGGAATGCCTCCGTGGCAGACCCTCTGGGTCTAAAGAGTCGCCGCGCGAATCCCGATTTCAAGCCGGAGGACTGGACGGAAATCTTCCCGCGGTTTGCCGTACTCCTCATACAGCAGTTCAACGTGGGCGTGTGGGGCGAGGCCGCCGCAATGGCGGCCGTCGTAATCTTATACCAGGACATACCTCCCGAACAATGGTGCTCGTAAGTTGATACTCTCTTCCGATATAACCAGCCCTCGACAATTCACGTCCTTTGCTAACCATAAATCTTCTGATTCCGGCAGCTGGGGCCAGTGGCGAACTCAGTTTACCAACAGGGAGCTGTATTTCAGTAAGGAGGGCAATAATCGCGATTACAGTGAGTTTCATTACATATCCTATACCGCAGGAAGGATCATTGGCACGTTACAGAAATACTGATACAACTCATGCGTAGTCGAGTGGTGTATTGAAAGGGGCCGCTTTCCACTGAACCCGGCCCGGGCGTGTCGTTATCTGGGGGAGAACAACCCCGGCGCCATCTACGGCTCGACCTCTGAAAAGATCCTCACCGACCGTTTCAAGCGAGGCGATTTTGACTTTCTAGACAATCTCAGCGATGTCCCGGTTCGTCGTCGTGGTAACAATGCCCCCGTTAACGCCCACCAGGCCGATGCCGCGAACGGTCCCGTTGAGGCGGAAGACTCCCTCTTTGTCAGCGCCGGCGACGGAAGCGATGTTGTTGACACCGCCGATCCCGACCAGACCGCGACCGAGGTTGACGCTGATGGTAATTCCCCGCTTGGAGAGGATGCCGACTTGACTTTCGGCGGTTTCGTCAATTCTGATCTCGACTCTGCCACGAACCAGAACGCTCCGGACGTCCCTCACGATATTAACCATCCCATTCCCGCCGCGGCCCCTCTCGAAATGGCCAACTCGTTTGTTACCGCGGAGGACGTTTCTTTGAATGGAGGTAACTTCACGCCTACTCCAGAGCTGTGGGCGGAAGATTTCGACGAGGGTGATTTTAATCTCGACTCTGCCACGGGACGGATTGTTACCGACCTCGTTCAAGATGCTTCTTTTATCCCCGAGCTGACCCCTGCCGGAATGGGTGACTCCTCTTTCATGACCCACAACCGCCCTCCTTTCATTCAAGGTCAGGCCGCTGGTGGCGAGGTCGGCTATGGTACGGTGAGCAACGTTGCCGCCAACCGCAATACCGGCCTGGACAATGACCCGTTTAGAAATGGCCCTGTCACCGACTTCGTGGCCTCGAATATGTACCCGGCCTCGGGCTATTCATCGATGTATGACGACTACGCCGATGCTCTACAGACCACCGGACAATTTGGTCAACATGATTCAACCAGCAATGCTGAGGACCACATGATGACCGATGTACCCATCGATCCCGCTATCTTGGAGGAATACAACCGCAGGGTGAGCGAAGGTAACAACCAGTGATGGCTTAGCCGTTCATCTCCGCCTTCCAACCGATTTTCATGATTGCCCGATGATTTGTTTTCATTCATTTGTTTTTTTTTTTCTGAGAAACAGTCATTCCCCTCGCACAGGAGAGAACCTTTTCAGTATTTCCTTCGACTGGGAAGAGTATATTCCCTCGACGCGCAGATCCACGGCTGGGTGAGCAGTTCTTTCTACGCGTCCGGGTTATATCGCACTAGTTTACTCTTAGTTGAGTTTCAAGGACAAGTTGTTATCCCCGAAGATTGTATTCACCTCGTCTGTATTGTTTTCTTTTGTGCTTGTGTTTGTTTCCTTGCCTGGATCGCCACACCTCATGTCCCATTCCCCTTCATTCCCCTCCATCCTCTCCAAGTTCTTCAGATGATCCCCAGTTCTCTACTCTTCGCCCAGTGGGAGAGTCTCTAGCGAGGTTACACGTGGACTCGCTGCTTAGGATGCTAATCTTGACGCGTCATGGACAGCGGATGCGATCATTTCGTGTTTACGACGCCTCCATGCCAAAGGCGGACAAGGCGACTGCTCTCAGATCGGTATCCATTAAGATCATTTCTGTTCTAACAAATGCTTTTTACAGAGACTATTGTACAGGGGGCAAGGCCTCCTCGCCTCCCTTTTGTTCATCAAGTCATGGACGATGCAAATTTATCCATCATACATCCCAATATTAAGCTCCATCTTTCCTAGACACACCAAGGCTAACTCATTCTCGTTTTCCCCAGATGCTTCAATACTTGACCGACGAATTCGGCCGACTGATCACTCTCTCGACATCCGCACTAAACCCAATATACTCCATATCATATCCAACGCCCGTCCCCGCCCCGCTCGACGCGCTCCTCCTCGACCCCCTTAACCTCGCTAGCACGGGCGAGAGCCTCGACGCCGCAAGATCCTGATACTCCGCCGCCGTATAGCTCCCGCTTCTGGCCCGCGACCCAAGCGCCTCCCAAGTCGAGTATCCCATATCTCCGCCAGCGCGTCTGATGAACGCCACGTCCTGCGAAGGGCGTCCGCACACCGAGACTCTGCCCTCGGCAGGATCGTTGGCCTGGGCGTGTCTCTTGGCGGCGATCTTCTGCAGGCTGCGCGTGATGCCGATAATGGACCGTCGCATAGCGCCGTGGATGTCGTCGATGGTGAGAGCCATGACGATGAGCGGGATGGAGATGCCCAGGCCGATGCCGAACATATACTTCGATACGTAGCCGATGGTGAGTTTTTCGTTGCCTTCCCAGTCCGTGAAGTTGATGGCAAAGAAGGCGGCGATGAAGGACATGGGGAGGAAGATGACCGTGACGATGGTGAAGACCATGATGGTTTGGCCTTGTCTGCCCGCGATGACGGCCTGGTCTCGCGCGAAGCGGGCCTCGAGTGCGTTGGAATGTTTCTGCTTGAGGTCGAGGAGGTGGGTGAGACTGTTGTAGATTCTCTCGGCTTGCTTGTCCATCCTGTCTTTGATGTCCGTTAGGGAGATGATGACCAGGCGCGTCATTTCTCTAGACCGTTTCTTGATGTCCGCGACGATATTGTCGACGGACCGAGGGTTGTTTTCCGTTTGGAGCTCTTCGATGATCAGTTGTTCGAACTCGGGTATCTTGGTCAATTGCGCTTCGAGCACAGACGTGATGATTCCCAGCTCGTCTCGGATATCCTTGACCTCGGCGAGTAACTTCGTCTCGTAGCCAATATCGAGCAACGTATCAGAAACTTGGACGTCATCACCTTCCATGCTATCCCCGTCACCCTCACTGCTTATCGATAGGTTCGAATCATCGTACGGCCGTTGTCTCGCGTCGCGTAGCCACTTGGCCGCCAGCTCGGAGGCGCGGTTAAACCTGCTGAAGAGTTCGGTTTCTTGGTTTCCGACGTGGCCTATGGAGCTGTCGAACATGTCGAGGAATTGGTACCCTGGCTCGGACATGAGGTGACGTCCGAAGAGGCCGGAGCAGCGATGGACGATGACCATTGCGAGATCGTAGACGGATGCTACTGGCGATCTAGTTTTGATGTTGGTGTCTTCGATGATGCCTTCGAGGACTTTTAGGGGATCGTCTTTGCTTTGGTTCCATCGCTGAGGGAAACAAGTGATAATAAGGTCTGTAAATCCATAAGAATTAGCTCCATCGCTTCGCAGGCAAAGACAAGGCATTTTCCCATTTTGGGCCCGAGACAGGAGTAACTTACCACTTCCGAGAACAAAAAGCCACAGTTGGTCGACCATGAATACCTTTGGTTCCTCGCGAGACCTCAAGCAATGGCGATAGACGACCTGGTCGGAATCTCTCGCCGTGGTATCAATACCGTAATACAAGTATTGATCGAGGGTTCGCCGGGGGTGGAGCGGCGGGATGTGGTTGAGGTAGGCGTGGAAGAGATAATGGTCGGGACACGCGTTGGGAGGCGGTTGGAGACGAGGATCGGCCCTTACGCTGTTGATTGTCTCGGCCATGTTGATTTGGCGCTCGTACGTCTCGTAGTGGAGAAACGGCATCTATGGGCAGAGGGTCTAGGTGTGAGTACGAGAAAGACACTACGACGACCGGAGGGGAAGGGGGAAAAAAAAGACTTACGAAGAGGACGATTTTCCCATTTGAAGGCGAGAGGTTCGACGACTCTAGTTGTAGCGTGGCCTGTCTCTGCATGGCCTTGTTAACCTTGCTTCCAGGCGGATTTCCCGGCGGTCCAGTCCCCCGTTTGTGAGACTTGGGGTGCCTGCTGGCGATCTGTTCGCCCTTCTTTTTCCTCTTGGTTTCTCCCTTCTCTCCCTTGGGCGAGACGTCCCGAGGGGATCCCAGCGGCGGCGTCTTCGGCGTGCGAGGAGTGGGAGGATGGGGATGGAGGCCAGGCTTTGGAGCCGGAGCGTCGCCCTCGCCATCAGAACCGGCGGGCGTGAGCGAGGGTTCCTCGGACACCACGACGAGAGGAGATTTCGTCATGTTTTGGGAAGGGACTGGATCAGTCTTGGGTGCAGAGATGCGGGTACAGTACGTCCTCATGAAGTGGGCGTGGGTAAAGGATCCGCGGTGTTCTTGGTCGAAGCACCTCTGGAGAGCTTTGAAGCCCTCAAAGTCTTGGAAATTTCCCTCAACGAAGGCCTTCGCTAATAGTGTTTCTATCCAGTCAATCTAGTAGCACCGAAGTTGTTAATCTCTGGGCAACCGAATGAAAAGAAGTTGAAGCGCAGAGAACTCGGGGGGAAGGGGGAAGAACTTGCGTTATTGGCAGGAAGGTGTATCCACCGAAACGAAGGCCGATGCTTGACATTTCGAGGAAGAACCGGCACATGCTCGTACAGAAGCTTGTAGACGGGCTCCTTGAAAGGCCTCTGTTTCCCGCCGTGGAAGTTAAAGTCGTAAATCGTCGCGTTGAAAAGCTGACAGGCCCTCCTGGCAATGCCGGGGAGTCTTTCGGGTAGGTTGCTGGGCGCCAAGCGTCTCGCAAGTTCGTAGTGGCCGCCCTGAGCAGCGCAGAGCATCGGCGTGCGATTGATGTTGTCCTTGATGGTCACGTCGCAATGGCGGGCATCCAGCAGAGCATTGACAGCCTCTTCGTGGCCGGCGGCAGCAGCCCAGTGGAGGGGAGTCATGCCATTGGATAACTGAGCGTTCACCCTGGACTTGTATTCGATCAGGACAGACACGATGTCCGCGTGGCCCTTCTGAGCCGCATTGTGCAGCGCCGTCCAGCCTCCTTCGCTGGTTCGACAGGGATCGGCACCATGCGACAATAGAACCTTGACGACTTCAACAGCACTTGTTTCGGCGGCGATATGGAGGGCATTACGGCATCGATTCGTTCGCGCTTGGACGTCGGCAATCCTTCCAAAGTCGTTGGTGAGGAGCGTAGATACGAGGAGGAGGTTCGAGTTTGTCGCGGCCCAGATCAGGGGCGTCTTGCTATCTTTATCGGCGGCATTCAAGTCGGCACCACACGCAATCAGAGTTGTCACGCACTCGAGCAAGTTCTTGGGGAAATTCTTCTGCCTAGCCAAGAAGAGTAAGGGCGTCTCGCGCTCGACGTCTCGATGATCGACCGACGCGCCGCCACGGAGCAGCACACGCAGCGTTTCCACATGGCCGCGAAGGCAAGCGGGGAACAGAGGCGTCGCGCCGACTTTATTCTGCCAATTCGCATTCGCGCCGTGTTTCAGGAGCAGCGAAGCGACTTCAGTGCGACCCCCTTCTGCTGCGCGATACAGAGCGGATATTTCGTTCACGTATCGAGGATCGCCCGAAGGCGGGTCGGTGGCGGCACCGTGTTCGAGGAGAAGTCGGGCTATTGGCAGCGAGCCGCGGGCGCTGGCTTTTTGTAGGGCTTGGCGCAGGGCATCGAGGTCGGCGGGGGAGTTCCAGGTGGGCGTTTCGGCGAGGATTTCGCGGACTCGAGCTTCTTTTCCTTGGGCGGAGGCGGCAAGGAGGAGGTGATGGCGCGAGTCGAGGCCACCGCTTGTTAAGCTCATCGCATCAGTGTCGAGCTACGCTTGGGGAACGCTTGTCGTCATTTACTCGGACTTCTGGCGATCGGGGAGGGATCTTCGCGGATCGACAGGTTTCGCAGATCGAAGGGAGGATGGGGAGGGCGTCGACGGCGTCGCGCTCCTTGGGCTCAGTGGGGTAGATCAATCGGCACCTCGACAGCTTGACTGCGAAGCACTTGGCCGCGAGAAACAAGAGACCGCAGTCAGGGAACCAAAGCAGGAGACAAGCACAGAAACACACGCAGTTCAGGGACAGAAGATCTGGGATGGGGGTTATGGAAAATTTAGTGATGATTTCTTTCAAGGACAAACTTGACGCGATTTGAAATGAAGAACGGCGGAATTTTTCACCGCCCACTCTAATCCTGGCTGGAATCCCATAGTTCGATTCAATTGAGGATCGTCAGAGAGACCTTGACCCTGTCCTTTCTGTCGACCCCACCCACCCCTATATCAAATCTCCCGCTCATTATTGCCCTGTAGGGCATAGCGAACCCCTTCGTCGCGCCATCGACCGTGCGAGAGAGCGTGCGGCGGTCTGGTCCAATGGGGGTTCTGGTCTTCGTGCAGCCACCACGCATCCTTCGCTTCTTCACCAATCAGCAGCCTGCCTCTGCATCTCAACATGGAAAAATCTCGAATTGGATTGTCGCAATCAGGCAAACGCACCTTAAATGTCGTGTCGATAAGGTTTTGCGGGGTGTCGATGTGGCTTGACTCGCCTGACCAGGCCAACTCTGGGCCTGGTGGCTCGGCTTCTTGGCGTCTCGATGCCACCAAACTGTTCGCATTGATGTCTTGCATCAAAAAGCCCAGGAGCCAAGGAAGCCAAGACACCCACATCAATTGAAATTGAGTTTGAAACTTTGTTTCTACCCTTCCCGCCACTGCGCCAGGAACAAAAGCCAGAAGATTGGAAGCAAGCAACAAGCCCAAAATACCACCCTTACACCTCCTTCGCTTCGCACCTTCCCGAGGAATGGAGGACCCCGCCCCAAACAGTCGTGCCTTCCATCTTCCAAGCGCCCCTCAGAATCTTCAGATCACCAGATTCCCGTACGACGAATTCGACTGAAAATTTCTATTTCTCGACCACTCTCCAAACCGCGGGGGCTTCGACTGAGACCTTGTTTAATCCTCCCTTCTAGAACATGTTCAACGAATCTCATATCTGTATTGAGAATGTCGTCATAATCTCGTAATCCTCTGTTGACATTACACATTTTGATGACGGCATCGTTAGAACCAGGAGCGAGCGCAGATTCTGTCAGTGCCGACTCGAGTGAATCGATGGAAACAACACCAATTGATCTACATCGTGTCCATTTGCTCCTCGGTCTAAGATTTACCCGCTTCAGTGGCCGGGCTTGTTTCTACACATCCAACCCATGTCATGTTCCAAGAGATGATGCGACCACGGATGTTCGTCTTCACCGATGGTTTATTTTTATTGTGTACCTCAGCATTGATTTCCTATGAAATAATTACTTTGTGCTATCCATAATCTGGGTTTTGGTGGTCTGGGACGACAGTGCGCTATCCTTCGTCAGCAAAACGTTCGGGACGCCAATTGCCGCTGTTTGAGGAGATGGGCTGGAAGAGACTTGATTCTGATATATTGATTCTATCCAGGCCAGTGCCATGATTATTTTTAAGTGCCTCTCTCTCTGCCTCTCTAGTTCTCCTTCAAAACTTCGTTGAGTACCAGGGGGCGGGATCGGATGGCCTGCAGCTTCAGGAATAAGGGATCAGTAACCGTGTTACTTGCGTAAAATGCACCAGGGGGTACGCTTCGCAGTAGAAATTGGAGACCAATGTAGCTATCTCGGACGTTAACTGGTGTTCTGCGACGCACCGCAGTCATCCGAACCGGTAATATGGCTGCAGAAGATGGGCAGGAATCGTATTTGGGCCATACAGGTGGCGTGCACTTGCGACACCATGCGCGAGTACAGAAGAACTCGCAAATAGTATATCCAATGAATTAAACGTGCGATGAAGTCTGCGGTTCTGCAAGTTATTTCGGGATGCCATCGAGATTATCGAGGATCGAATTGATGGACTCGTTGGACCATGAATTTGGTGATTCTTGGGGACTTGGAAAGTGGAAGGCACGACTGGAAGGACTCAACATCGAGCGCCTCAGCTTCCAGGATCATCAAAACTCTACCAGCAATCTTTTTTTTTTCCCTATGGCGCGTGCCTCCATGTCGAACAGCAGCTAGATATTTTCTACAGGCGTCCCGGTCAACATCATTGTGTCCAGCCTCCCTACAACGTGCATTGACATCGCAGGTTTGCCATCGACTGCTATGAAGAGTTATCGGATGAAGGGTTCTGCGAAGTCCTCCCATGGTTTCTCGATTAAATGGTTCATTTTCGATTCGTCACGTTGTACATGTTTCAACTGGTATCTTGGAAATGATAACTGACGGACTTGAAAATACTACATCGACTTCTTCGTGTAACAGGATGCTCTGGGATGGTTCTTGTGTGGAGTATACACGTTGCTTGTACAAACGTCACAGTGTCTTCTGTCACAATCCGCCCCCCGAGCCCCCTTTCAGACCTGGGTTGCTTCTTTGTGCTCAACTGGGACCGAGGTCTCCAAAGCGGCTTTCTCAGACTTGCCGAAATCTTCACCTACCCCTTCCATGCCAAATACATGTGTCCTCCACCGCCAAGCAGGAATACGCTCGTTAAAGAACATGGAAAGCTCCATGGTGGATCGACCAGCTGTCTCACCTACACAAAAGTACGTATAAATCTGGGTAATGCCAGTGGTCCCCGCATAAATGAAAGCGAGCATCGGGCCCAGACCGGCGTCGTAGTACAGGTAAGGTGCGGTAAAGGAGACGAGCCAAGTGATAAAGTAGAAGAAGACGATGGACAAGGACATGATCTTGTTCTGATTCGTACCCACGGCCATTTCTCGAGCGATGGTATAAGCCAGGGGTCCGATGCCAAAGTTGTACCCGATGATGACGATATACGAAAAGATGACGATGACGTACTGGCCAGCTGTCGTGAGGGTCTTCTGGGTGCCGACGCCGCCGATGATAATAAACGCCACCATCATCATACCGTTCGTGACGAAGAGGTTAATGCGGCGTCTGACCTTGTTGCCAGTGACGACAGACGCTGCGACGGCAAAGATCTGAAGAATATTGGTGATCAATTGGATTAGGAAGGGGTCTTCCATTCCAATGGCCTGGGCAAACACGACTCCGTAGACGTAGAAGAAGAGAATGCCATTGATTTGCGAGGAAAACATCGCGCCGGCCGAGAAGATGACCTTCCTCCTCTCCACCGGATCCGAATAGAGGGCTTTCCAAGACGAAAACTCGGCGCTGACTTCCTGTGTCCTCTTCGTCTCCTCCAAGATCTCGAGATCCTCGGAGGGGTCGTACGAACCCTCGCTTCGGTGGATCTTACGAAGAGCAACTTCGGCGTCCTGTCTTCTGCCGCGTAGTACGTACCATACAGGGCTCTCGGGAATGAAGGGAAGGCCCACGAACATCATCAAAGGGAGGACGACGAGACCCCCCATGGGTAGTTTGTACGACAAGGAGCTCTTGATGCCTTGCGTACCCTGCGAAATGCCGGAGGCGACGAGCTGCGAGATGGACTGGAGAAACTGAAACATCATGAGGACCGGGCCGCGGATGGCGCTCGGGGATACCTCACCCATGTAGAGGAGAGATGTGACGGTGAACTGGCCCACACCCAAGCCGATCAGGATACGGCCCGCGATGATGACACCCTCGTGGTGAGTGTCTGCAACTTGGCATATTCCGCCGCCAAGAATGCAGAAGGAGGCGAACCAGAAAGTTGTCTTCCGCCCCCATCTGTCATTGATGGGCGCGGCGACGAGGGTACCGATGAGATCGCCGATGTAGATGGAGGACGCCGTCAAAGCCTGGAATGAAGTTGCCAGAGCTTTCTGGCCATCCACGAAACGGGTTCCGTAGTCGTTCTTAAACTCTTGCATGGCGAGAACGCCATTGTAGTAGGTGTTGTCGTATCCATAGCAAAGGGCGCCGATGGCGGAGATGGAGCAGTAGAGTAGCGCCCATTTATGGGACCGCCAATCGAAGTTGAGGGAGTCAAAGATGCCCATGGCTGCTGATCTGGCTTGCACTGGGCGCCTTGAAGGTGAAGAATCAATGGAGTCAGGAAGAGGGGCAGGGGCAAGGTCGATGGCAATGTGTAATGGAAAAGGAAGGGGATGATAGACGGAGTCGACAAGAGCTCGGACAACTTGGGGATCTTGAGAAGATTTAATACAAGAAGTTCACATCTGGCTCTCCATGGTTTCGAAGACAATCGATCCCTCATACCCCATTACCCCATTACCCCATGCCCCATTGCCCCCTTCCCCTTCCCCGCCTCGCCCATTCCCCATGCCCCATTCCCCATTCCCCCGCGATAATCCCGTCGCCACTCCGTTAGAACGAAACAAACATAAATCATGGATACAAGTAAATCCGAATAAGAAAGAAAAATTTTGCCCCGATGGTGCGATGGAGTTAAGTTGCAGACGCATCCTCCACTGAGCTGTTTGTATGGATATTCCGCCGAGCGTCACTCCGTCGAGCTCCACTTCGCGCCGCATTAACATCACCAGTTATGGAGAGCAACAGCAAGGCAGGGTTCTCCCAGTCACTCGGTCATCCCGGTCAACCAACCTTCTCGAAGGTTGAGAAGCCGTCATGCATGCATCTTTCTCCGTCGATCTTCGAAGAAGGAGGGTCCAATCGACACTCTTCTGTTTATCGGAGTTTTCCCACACACACCTTCCGCATTCGGCCTAGTGAAGGGATCTCGATCATCTCCCAACACCAACTTCGTACGACACGCTCGCAGTCATTGGTCTGTGATTCCGGGGTTTCTCCGCGCCCGCAGCTCCTTGAGCAATCTCACCTCGGAGCCGATGTCTACGAAGTAGTAGTTCCGAGAGCTCGTTCGGTTGATATCTTACC